TCTTCCTGGAAGCACTTAAATCATCATATCTAAATGTAATGTCATCCATCAGCTGTTTGGTGACACAAGAGAAAACCAGTGGTTTGAGGTCCTCTCAGACTGACTAAAATTTGTTGTTCAGAACTGGACTATCTGAGGCTTCAGAGCAGGACCACGTCAACAAACAGTGGTGGGAGTGTTAACACGACGTAAGTGAACATTTTTAGGTGAAAAGTTATTTCTTTAGGCAAACTGGACCACAATGAATTTACTTTGTGGCTTAGGGTGTTTGGTTTAAATGTGGATATTGCACAGGCCTACCATTTAATCCTGACTATAAAAGCTCTACACAACTGGATTCAGTATCAAATTTCCAAACAAAGCCAAAACAAAGCTAAATGAATCTAGTTGACTCTGGACTGTGGGCCAGTTCATAGTGTGCAATAGAAATTCTGAGAAATAAACAAAGAAACCCTTTTTCATGTGTAAACTATGACTCTTACAGTAGCACACAAGAGCAGGAGGAGGGCTGATGAAAAGCAAGGAAATAGCTGAAACATATGATTCACTTCATCCAGGCTGACGGCCAACCGTGCACTATGCAAAAATAAACATGGGACTCCACAGCAGGTTCCCAGAATATGCTTATTTTGGGGGAATGACAACAGCTTTTGAAATATCACAGCACTTCATTTTGATTTATAAGAAGCTGGAGCAGGATCTAAATCACTCTCCTGAGGCCTGTTGGAGACAGACATGGCTGTCTGCTACATGTCAGGAACAGGTGGTGGCGCTACAACACACTGGAAGACTGGGAATTCTGGGAATTACTGAACCCAGAACTATTTTCAAGATAACTGTACATATTCTAAGATGGTGATGAAATGAGCTGCTTTTCAATATAATTTAGCTTATGTTTTAGCAGAGTAAATAGAGTGGATTATCTTATCTTATCTTGCAAGAGATTCTTATTCCCAAAGGCAAATTCAGGAGAAATATCTTTATGTAATTATAAACAACATTTAAGATTTTCTAGGTCAGGTCTGAACTTATATGGTATTCCTATTTGCTAATCACCTGTCTTATTACCACAGCCCTCAACTGTTTGTTTTACATTTTAGGCACAGTATCATGTTATGTGGGGAATGGGGTAATTTGCTGCCGATGGCTGTTTAAATGTTATGCTCAGGGCAAAGCGATTGATTATCAAGCTGCTCAAGTGGACAGTATTCAGTCTACTCTCCATTAGAAATAAAAGCCAGTAAACACAATTGCAGTATTTTTGTCAAAGTCCAAAGTAAATTTTACGAATAGTACACTTTTTTATGTGTGCCAAAAATAAATAATTTTTTAGTTTTAATAAATTGAACCCACTAAAATTGTGCTTAAGATACATGCTGCACTAACCATGGTTTTATATTAACGCTGAATCAAAGACCTCATTGTAATATGAAAAGAGGTCACTTGTAATGATGAACCCATAATTATTATAATCCAGTTCTGCGGCTCTACAGATATAATTAATTATTTGGGCTTTGTGGTGCACATCTACGTGACTAAGTTCATGGTTATCATGGCAATCAAGAATATGGATCAGCTAAAGACTGAATTTTAGATTGGATATTAAATATAATGCTTGGGCACTCACTTAGAATATATGTGTATACTCTCTTGAATAACATTTATTCCTGCTGCTTTTCTACTCATGATATGTCAATAGTAATGTACATGTTGCCTTGAATTCTGTTATTATTAACATGTCATGTATTAAAAAAGAAAGAAAAAAGCATTAAAATTACACATCATTATACCTAATTAACACCTAGTATATCATACACCAAAACCATTTGTGTTTATTTTGGCGATTTGTTTAGTATAATATATTGACTGCCTATAGCAGTCTTAATTATGTTTCTAAATCTTGCAAACTTCTTGTTAACTCAACACTGAAACTAAGAGTTAAAGAAGAATCAGCAGCATGTATGTGTTCCTGTTGAGCTTTTAGCATTTTAAGCTACATAATGTAGTATGTTTTTGTACCCACAAGGGGGCGGTACATCCATGCTGCATCTTAATATGGTGGCTCATGAAAATTAGGACAACAAATAATTGCTTCATCTGCATTTATCTGAATGTATCAAAAATGACTCTCAGATACATATATGAGAGGCATTATATCAAGTTACAGAGAGATATTATATACACTATACATTTGATGTCATGCAATCTAGCACAATAATCCAGAATGTAATACCTTAAGAATTTAAGAAGACAGAAAATGTTATAATAATAATTTGACTTTGTTGGGACTTTGTTGGACGTGATTCAGCCTCATTGTGGACAGCTGGATAGAGTAAAGGTATTCAGGTTATTGTGTTTGCCTCTTGTAGAAGGTGATAACTTCTATGTTCAGATTATAGACAGCACAAAAGAAATCTTCCACAATGAACTGTCCAGAAATCTAACCAACCAGCTTGCAACCGTGAAATTACATCCTGTAGTCTCATTTTGATCATGTGAATGATCCCAAAATCTTGGAGGCAATTTCTTTTTTTTCTTAGTGTTTTTTGTAATTGTCTGTATGTGTGTGTGTGTGTGTGTGTGTGTGTGTGTGTGCAGGGCAGGGGGGGGTGGG